ATACCGTATACATACATATATATATATATGTATATTGTAAAAATAAATAAACAAATATATACCTGTGCATACGGCTTTAGATATATAGATACAGAGATAGATATAGGCCGTGTGAGTTGCAGTTCGGCCTTCCTGTAAGGCTCGCGGCAACCACGTGGATTTCATGCGGAAGACACACGAGAAGATGGCGAACGAGCAGGCTCTTAGGGCAGGATGTGAATGCTCATCTCCTTTTTGTGTAGCCAAAGCAGTGCACACATGCACGTGCGTGCACACGCACCATGCGCACGTTGACACATACGCTTTAAGCACACGCGAGAACGCACACATGCACACACGCCAGCACAGCCTCCGCGTTCATGTTTCTGTCACAAAAAGCGGCAGAAGCATGAACGCTTGGCTTTGGTTTCTTCTCAGCTGTGTTTCAGGCAGCCCACGCCTCCAACCATGCCAACTTGAAAGAACGCGAGAGCCTGAGTCTTCTTTGATTCATGCAACTCTGGCTTTGTGTGTTGCTTCCGTATCCTTGCGAGGCGTTGATTTTCTTGAGAAGAAAGTCGGAGATTCGGCTGACCACCATAAGAAGGCGCGTTACTCGGTACAGCACTGTGCTTGACAAGACTGTTGCAAGGAAGCGAGGAGTCTGAATCACCAGTAACACTATCCCCTGTAAAGCGCCTCTATACGCTTTAACCTACCCTCAAAACCCCAGTCTAGTTGGTGGTTGTCAAAATTATGGTCCCTTTTTGGGTCCTTGTTATAATGCGGTACCTATTATTTAGGGTACCCCAGAAGGGACCATAATTTTGACAACTACCCAGTTATGTTTGCGAACCCGAAACTCGGGACCCTGATCCCCAACCAGTCGTAAGGAGCTCCAGGCGACGCGGCAAGCGCAGGCTGGCTAGGGTCGCTGATGCTTCTCTGCGTCCCTCTCTCTCCGTCTCTGTCGCTCCCTCTGTATCTCTCCGCCTTCTGGCGTACTGTATATATCCATAGGTAGATAGATACATAGGGGTAGATAGGTATATATATATATATACACATATATACAGATAGATATGCATACATATACATATGCATATACATATACACATACACACGTATACGTACAAACATGCAAGACTAAGTACATTAACAAATGACTAGAAAAGTCAATGACTTAACTACTGTACATACATGCATGCATACCTACACACATACACACATACATGCATGCATGCATGCATGCATACATACATACGTAAGTTTAAACAGACACACCCGCTCCGATACATGCGCGTAGATCTCTCGCTCTCTCTCTCTCTATCTATCTGTCCGTCCGCTTGTCTGTCCGTCCGTCTGTCTGTCTGTCTGCCTGGCTGTCAGTCTGTCTGTCAGTCAGTCAGTCTGTCAGTCAGTCAGTCAGTCAGTCTGTCTGTCCGTCTGTCTGTCTGTCTGTCTGTCTGTCTCTGATGATGATGATGTGCTGGAAGCGACAACCTGCCAGTTCTGAGGAAACAGAACAGGGTTCTGTCTGTCTCTGTGTCTTTCCAGTCTCTCTCGCTCGTCGGTCTCGTGTCTCCAGGATCAGATTCACGCCCGCCTGAACGAGGAGCGCCAGATGCGAGAGCAGGCTGTGGACTCTCCCCCAAAGGGGCAATAGATAATATAATAGAGGTAGCAACAACAACCATGACAATACCAATAATGTTGCTAACAACAATACAAGACAAATAAGACAAATCATAACAAGTAGAGTCGTATATCGGTAGTCCCTATCCTGATATAGTCTCATATCTAAAGGTTGGAGGTTAGATTTTGTGTTCCTTAGGCATCGAAAGCCCGGCTTTCGTATAATGCTCGAATTACTGAGGGCATCTGTACCATATCCCCGAAATACCAAGCCATAAACCGTGTAATTTCGGGGCTGTCAATCCGATGACTCTAGAGTTTAGGATCATGCGGTTTGGAAGTTCAGGGTTTCAAGGTTCAGGGGTGCAGGGTTTAGCGATGAGGGTCCAGAGGCCGCGGGGCTTAGGGTCCAAACTGAGGTTTAGGGTTAAACCTGACTTCATAGAGGCCTTATGTCCGCAACACCTTCGAGTGGATGCTCCTCACCTTCACCTACATACCTTCAAGTCCTGGGCCCAAAGGTTTCGCGGCAGAAAGGGCTTTGAGCCTCTTACAAAACAAACCCCTACAGAAACATCCTTAATCCTCAGCCGCGCGCAAATTGGCCCAACACCCTTAGTAATCCCCAGAAGAGCTTCAAAGTACATCCCCAAAAACCTCAGACATGTGAACCCAAAGAGGGCTCTAAACTCTAAACCTAAAGCCAGGTGCATGAGCAGTTCCAGACCGAGAAGGCAGAAACAGATCCGACGAAGACCTTCCCCCCTGACTGCTCGTTTGCCTTTAGGGCCTAGGGTGTAGAGTAACTTAACCCTAAGTCTTAAACCCTAAACCCTAGAGGGGTTTTGAGTTTAAGGGTCCAGGAAGCGGATCCCGGGTCGCTTTCTGAGTCCTGGCCGTGAGCTTCCGGGAAGGCTGCCAGAGAACGGCATCATGCGCTCCTGCAAGATCTCATTGGTCGGGAGAAAGATGCTCGAGACAGGGCCTCGGGGCACTTTACACGACCTTCGCCTTTGCTATCTTGTTATAAGGGAGTTTCGGGAAATTAGTGGACCTGAACATGGAATCCTGCCATATCTGATCATATGCCCAGCAAGCAACTCTGCCATATGATGGTGTCTGGTATGATAGCTTGTTTATATCGTCACAGCTTCCCTTCAGCTTGAGCATCCGTCGTCTGTCGTATCTTATCTTCCATTATTTTCCAGGGCCAGACTGTGTTCCAGGACAAACATACGGCACATCACCACGAGCTGTTGGGGCGCGAGCGTGCTGCCAATGAGGCCAGGGGAAGTCTACACCCTATCCCCCAACCCTGAATCCCGCAACATCAACAGCCTTGAAACCCTAAGCCCTAAGCCCTAAGCCCTAAACCATAACCCTAACCCCTAAACCCTAAACCCTAAACGCGCTGTTGTGTTTTCTTTGTGGGGCGTGCCTGGCCGCCCTCCCCTGGTCCTGGGACCTTCTGACTGTGGCAAGGATGCTTTGGGTGGAAAAAGGGGTTCCAAAAAAAAACCTAAACCCTAAACCCTAAACCCTAAACCTAAAGAAGTGCGTTTCGGAAGCATTGGAGAGCCCAAGTAGAAACTTTATCGATCCCGAAAGGAACTTTACCATACTGTACTATACTATACTATACTATACTATACTATACTATACTATACTATACTATACTATGCTTTACACTATACACTATACATTAGACATTATATACTCTAGACCCATATACAATAGACTACATAGTAATTACTGTGTTTGGTCCAATTTTTGGATCCGTAGAGCGACTCTGAAACTGGACCTCGAATACAGGAAACAAACCTGGTCGCAAGGATAGCAACAAAATCAGCCCGACGAGTAATCCAAATGATGGGGGCCGACATTGTGGTGCCAACATAAAGTTTCCGTGGCTCCAAAACTGGGCCCGCGGCACGGCACGGTCTGTAAACTGGTGCTCTTGCTACTGCTGGCAGAAAGCTGCCCAGAAAACGGCCCAGGAAACGAAACCGGAAGTCGTACATTTGGCTTGCCAATGCAGTGCCGTGCAGTTTCCCAAACGTGAGTCCTTTTAGACTAGACCAAAGGCTTGCGTGTGACTTGCTGCGACGTGGCCTGCATTGCAGAACTTGCCCTTGCTCCAGACAGGGGCGCATGTAAGCTGATGGAATTCTTGTACTATGGAGGCACACTATATTGAAGCCGGAAGCATGCGCATTTTCTGGGCCCAAATTCGCGCCCTCGAAACTACCAGCCTTGCGCATGTCACGACACGCGCTGCCAATGCAGGTTTACTAACAAGGCTATGTCAGACGTATTTCAGACCGCATGTTCTCTTCTGGGCACATGCTGAGCTTTGGAGTTGCGGAACAAACCCTAGCTCTTCTCTGCGTGGCACCCAAATCGCGTTCGGTGGGACCTGGTGGGACCGGGTGGGTCCCGGCCCTTCTCTACATGGGAGCCTACACTCCGTTTGGATTTTACATTGTGACTGAGGGTGAGGGGCTTCAGTTTAGCCTTTCTGTTAAGGTTTTCGGCCCTGATTTCGGACGCAAAGCCATCTCCATGACAGACTGAATGTATACTATCCTACCCTATGCTATGAAATGCCATGCCATGCCATATTGTACACCATTACCCTAAACCCTAAAGCGTAAACCCTCATAACAGAGTAGCGTCCCAGGAGCGCCACAAGGACGTCAGCGAAGTCCTTCAAAAAGAGCGCGGCCTGCGCGAGCAGCCCGGGGCTGAAGATGCACTCGGAGCAGGCTTTAGAAGAAGGTGTATTAGGGGTTTAGGGGTTTAGGGTTTGAACGGGGTTTGGGTTTAGGGTAATAGTTAGAAGAGATTACATGAGATTAATTTCGATGAGGTGAAGTTAAGTTCAGTTGCTTAGACTAGATGGACGGCTAGATGGATGGATGGATGCGTGAATGCATGGATGGGTGGATGGATGGCCGGACGGATGGATGGATGGATAGATGAGATAGACACATAGCGTGAACAAGAAGTAGCTAGATGGATGCATAGATGGATAGATCGATCGTTAGTTCCGATAGACACATACTAGATGATCTCAGGAATGATTTGAGGCTTCTGCGTTCAGAGCAGCCAGGGTTCGAAAACAAGTTTGCCAAGTGTTTATGTTGTTTTATATGGTTTCCATCGGGGATAACTGGGGTGCTCTTTGCAGGTGTTGATGGGAAGCTTAACGAAAGCTCGCATGAAGGGCATAGAGACGGTGCGTATTAGGCTGTCCTTATCGTGGTAATCTAAAGGAATTTAGTGCCCCTGCATCGGTACCAATCATATTCCTTAGGGTTCCTTACCGTACTTGCATTATATTATGCCCCACCAAGCCCTATTCCAAGTATTGAGGCCCTTGCAGTGTTTTGTTTGCAAGGGCCCAGCTTTGGTATCTGAGGCTCCGAGCTTGCACAGGTTCTGCTCTTGCTTGAAAGAGGTGAGGCTGTTAATCCCCATGCTATGGGGGGGGGCTGAATGCCCCGAATACATTTCCAATGTCATTTACACTGAAACCTTGTTCGTTGACATGTTCAGGCACGAATAGATATTGTTCCTTGCCGCATGCCCAGGTTGTCTAAACCTCAGCTGCCGAAGCATCAAGCCTCACACCTTGAAATCGTCCTAGCCAAGGGCACACAGCATGCTGCACGACATGGTGCACAAAGAGAAGGCCGCCCGAACGGCGATCGAGGCCCTCGAGTGAAGCCTTGAAGTAAACGGAAGCAGTCCCAGAGCCGAGCCTGCCTTAAACTTGTAAAGTCTTGGGATTTGAGGTTTGGGCTGAGGGGCTTTTAAGGGATCCGAATAGGGATCCGTGGGGGCTCTTAGCCCGAAGCCCTTAAACCCCAGGTGCAGAGGTCTTATGGTACAAAATTGAGGCTTCATCTCGGAGGGGGTCAAAGGGCCTCAGGCAAGCAGGCGAAGACTTCGGTTTCAATTACCCTGAGTGAAAGGGTACAGAGCGTAGGGGTTAGGATTCAGAAAGCAAAACTGGATGGTAATACTCTCCTAACAAACTTCGATGAGGATCATCACGGTGATCAGAACACCTGGTAGTCTCGCGGAGGCTGACTCCCGAAGTCAGCACAGTGGACCTGCAAAGCTGTGCGTCCTGAAACTCTTTCGCATTACAAGAACCGGAAGGGGAGCCCCACAGCACTGGTACAGTGTGTGATAGCTTGAACCCTGAGCACTAAACCCGAAAACAGCCAGTAATACCCCCTCGAGGGCTCCTGGGTAGCTCCTGCAACAGTCTTCGAGCCCATGTTATAGGGGCCTTAATCATGAGAACATGGCAGAGTGTTGGAGCTTATGATACGATAACTACGAGAAGGAACCCCAAAATAGTATTGTTGATTACTTAGGCCACGTTTTTTCCTTGGGTTTAGGCATGGGGTGGAGTGGGATTCGATGCATTTGTGTTATTATTTTTAGTTTTTGGGAGGGGCGGGGGCAGGGGGGAGGTTTGGCATCCAGATTTTTCCGGGTTTCCGTGTTTCTGGACTTTGAGTGGGCAAGTTATCGGCGCTAGAGCATATCACGTGACGAGCTCAGTGGATGGTATCGCGCCACATGTTGGCATATAGTGTTGTTTGTCCTCCTACGCCTTTAAAACCCCGGCTGCCGCGTTGCGTAAAGGGCTCGTTGTTTAGCCGAAGGGTTTCCGAGTTCTGGACCTGCCCACATGACAGGAGGTGCTGGTGCAAGAGAAGGGTGAACGAACGAAGCATCTGGCGCACTTGGATGAGAAAGTCCGGTACTCAGCGGCAGCTATTTCAGCGTCCAGATTCGCCGACGGGTCCTAAACGTCCAAACATAGAAGACCTTTCCCCAGACTTCCCAGAGCCCACGTGCTAACACAAAAACCACCAAAGTTCCAATCCTAACCCTAAACCCTAAACCCTAAACCCTAAACCCTAAACCCTAAACCCTAAACCCTAAACCCTAAACCCTAAACCCCTAACACGAAAAACCCTGAACAAGCAAGAGCGCCAAGGTGGATTCACTCCAGAAGTCCATGAGCATCTTCGACAGCTTGGTGCGGAAGGTCAGAGAGCCAGGGGTTCATTTTATGGGAGTTTCCGAAAAGTAGGGGTACCTTATTTTGGGGTCCTTATAATAAGGATCCTACTATTTAGGGTATTATATGAGGGTCCCCTATTTTTTTGGAAATCCCCAGAAAGTTCTAGTAGGTTTTAACCTCCCAACACCCTGCTCTAAATATTAAGGCCCCCCCCCCATCTTCCTTTGGGTTAAGCTAAGGGTCTGACTTGACTTTTCAGCTGTGGAGTTCTTGATTGTTTCAGGCGGTCCGGGGGCTTCGGGGTTCATGATCATGAGCACTCCAAGCCCTAAACCCCCAAAACCGAAAAGCCTCAACCCAAAGCCCCACCCTAAACCCAAACCCTAAACCCTAAACCCTAAACCCCAAAAAGCCAGGAAATCGAGGAGAGGACCAAGGAGTACCGGCGCCTATGGGACGCTATTGATACGCATACGCACGACCTCTCCACTCAGGCCTGGTCAGGGCTTTGGTCGACTCTCCGGTTCGATAGTCCTGCTTCTCCCCTAAACCCGAGGCCCAAAACCCTAAACCCTAATCCCTAAACCCTAAACCCTAATCCCTAAACCCTAAACCCTAAACCCTAAACCCTGAACCCTAAACCCTAAACCCGAGATCCTAAATCCTAGACCCCCTAAGGCCCCAAAGCGCCAAGCCTTGAATCTTCGGCCCCCGAAGCCCCAGACTCTCAAGGCCCCCGAAGCCCCCGAAGCCCCCGAAGCCCAAAACCCTAAACCCTACGCCCTTGAAGCCAAAAGAAAGGGGCCTTAAAGATTACCAAAACTATTTTTGGGGATCCCTATTTTAGGTATAGTATAATACACCCCCAAAGACCCTCTTCAATTTATTGAGGCCCCTACATTAAATCCCTCGTGGAGGTTATCAGCGAGGCGGGCGGCTACGTAGCGCCTGAAGTGACCGTGCGCTGCTCGGTGAGATGCCTTTGGGCTACTGCACAGCAAACCCCAGAATGTTGGAACATGGGTTTGGGGTTTAGGGTTTCGGGGTTTAGGGATTTAGGGTTTAGGGTTTAGGGGTTAGGGGGTCTTAGGGGTTTAGGGGTTTAGGGTCTAGGGTTTAGGATGATCAGTGCTAGGATCCCTTCTATTTTGCCTTAAAGGTACCAGGAGAATGATGTTCCAACTTTCTGGCTTCTATTTCAAGCGTTCCGCATGGCTCGCAGTAAGGGTTCGGGTTTAGTAGCGGATGTTGTAAGGGTTGCGAGACCCGACTTCACAGCAAAACCCCGGAACTCTAAAGACCAGAAACCCATATGCCAGACCCTGTGCCCCCACTCAGCTCCTGCCCTAAACCGCAAAACCCCTTGCAGATCCCCCACAGCAACCAAAAACGGAACCTTAACGAAAACCGCAAACCCTAAACCCTGAACCCTAAACCCTGAACCCTAAACCCCTAAACCCTTAACCTCCTAGACCCCTAGACCCTTACACTTAAACCCTCAACCCACCCAGGCCACGGCCCTGGACTCCAACATCTACCCCCGGTACTTGACGACGGCTGCGGCGAGGGAGCCCAGGTAAGGAGAGGTGGAAGGTGGATCGTCTATATTATATGAATCACATTTCATTCTATGAAAATAGTATGATTTGAATCACATTATATGATATGGGAAGAGTATGATTTTCTCTAAGGTTTAGGGATCAACGGGATGTTTCAGTTTAGGGTTCTGGGGGTTGAAGTGGTCGAAGTTTCAGCAGAAGTCCCGTGGATTCGGTGCTTTCAAGCGCCGGCACCAGCTGCCCCAAACTTTAAACGGCCCTAAACCCTAANNTAAACCCAAAACCCTAAACCCCAGAATTGAAAAAACAACGAACCTCAAGCCGAAACCCTGTTGTCAAGGCACCGACGACAGCTGGGGTGACCCAGACGTGGGTGCCAAGTGTGCCATCAGTTACGTATCAGGAACCGGCTGAGTCCTCAGAAGGGAAGCGATGGGTATTGAAGCACAAGGGTCATTCTGAGGATTCCTGTAGGGATTCCTACCAGTCCTACCAGAGTTACCCTAAACCCTAAACCC